AAAAAAATTAAATTTATCATTTATAAATAATATAAAAAAATTAAAATTTCTTACAAAATTTAACAAATATGCTGTTAGTCACGTTATTGTACGGTAAAATTGGGACCTCCTAGACAAGTGCCAAGTGGTGGTGGATGCACGCCGGGTTAGAGCCAGCCAAAAGCCTCTGACTCCAGTTGGGTCACTCACTCAATGGCTGCCAAGTCACTTTCATTTGAGTAATGATATTGAGTAATGATATAAAAATAAATGTTTTATAAATAAATATATTAATATATATGGTATTATAAATTTTAATAAAATAAAAAAAATATAAATATAATAATAAATAAGATTTAAATTTAAAATTAATAATATAATATAAATTTTATATTATTTAATAATTAATTTTTTATTTTTTAAATTAATTATATTATATATTAATTAATTTAATAATATAATTTATATCATATTATTAATTTTAAAATTTTTTTATTATTGCTTTATTAAATCGTATGTAAAATTATTTTAAAAAATTATCTTAATTATTTTTTTATTAACTTTTTTTTTTTTTTTAATCTTTTCCTTTATCCCGGGGAAGTAGGATAGATATATGCTTATAAGGCTATATCCAGTGACCTGCAGGCTAGGGCTGTCGTTTTGCAATGGAAAAAGAGCTGAGCTACAGCAACCATGTTAGTCTATTATTGGTCGTCTCATCTCATGCAAATGCAGCTTGCACAGGTGCCGTACCTCCATTGATAAAGAGAGATGGAACGGGAGTGAAAGGAACAGAGCATTGGAATTTGGAAATGGGAATCGGGTTGGGTCGTCTTTGGGTATTTAGTTTTTACTTGTCTTTTTTTTTTTTTTCTTTTTTTGTTAATTAAGTTTTTAGGTTTTAATGGTAATTTTGAATTTTAAATTGTTTTTATTATATACGTTAAAGATATATATTTAGGGTATATTTATCATAATTTTTTTATTATTAATTTATATAAAAAAATTACAAAATTAATTTTTATTTTTTTATAAATATATAATAAATACACATTTTATTTAATCTGTATATAACTATATATATTAAAAAATTCCTTGAGTTTTAAGTAGTATACTAGGATGTATGTTTTCTGACATTCTCCAATGTAAAAGGCTGCCAGCAAGTTCCCCACTTACTGGTAAAAGGGAAAAAAAATTAAAAAAATGCGTAGTTTTACCATATGTGCGGCGAAAATAGAGTTTTTTTTATTTAAAAGATATTTTATTATTATCAATTATTTAAATAATTTAATAATTTTTTTTTAATATATAAAATCTTGAAATTGAATTATATAACATATAAATGAGGTGGAATAAAATACGGTTATTTTTTATTGTATAATTAAGATAAAAAATATATATTATTATTTTATAATTTAAAATAATTTAAAATTATAAAATATTTTTTAAAAGTTAAATTAGAAAAAAAAAAAAAAAACAAATGCTTAATTATGGCTATGGGTTGCTTTACGTTCGGGGTCTTGGGTCAAATGGCCCATGTGTTATAAGAGATAACAGGACCCATATCTTTCCTGAATTAAAGCCCATTTTGATCTTTTTCGTCTAAGTAGTTGCCCATTTTGCCTCGTATAAATTATTATGATTCAATGTTATTCCTTCCCTAAATTATTCTTAGGTGTAAAATAAAGGTATCAATTTAAAAATTTTTTTATTTAAAGATATTAATTTTATTATTTTTTAAATAAGAATGTTAATTTCTGACTTTTTCTATTTAAAAATATTAATTTTCAATTTTTTCTATTTAAGGATTAATTGTTTATATCTTTATTTAAAAATTAACAAAATTAACATTTTTAAATAAAAAAATACAAAATTAACATCCTTATTTGTACCTTTTCTCCCTAAAGTCATGTTAATTATTTGGTCAAATTATAAGAATCATGTAAATTAGACGCCAAATGAATAATGACTATTTCAATTGCAAAAATAAAAAAATAAAAAAGAAGAATGGTTATGTATTTCATACTTACAACAATTTTTTAAATTAGTTGGAGGAAGGAAGTGATACTAATAGTTAAAGCCTAGTGGATTTATAATTAACTATTTTCTCCAACCTAAAAAAAAAATTGTTTGATGAAATCACGTAATAATCATTCTCCATCTGTTATCATTGTCAAATTACTTTTATAATTTAATTATATATGTATGTAGAGGGTTAACTACTCAACAATACAAATATTTGAATCTTTTATTTTAATTTTAAATCAAAATTTTTAAATTAGTAAATATCATTTAGAATAATCTCTTATTGCTAGTTTTATAATTTAATAGATGAATACAAAAAAATATTTTATAAGCTGGACTATACTGCACGTTAAAAGAGCAATTTAACTTATAATTTTATTAAAATATCTTTAATAAAATTATTTTTTATGTTATTTTATTAATAATAATTAAATAATTTCAATACTTAATCTACACTTTTAATGAACAATCTAATTTGTAAAACATAAATCTCTATATGAATAATCATTTTATAAACAAAAGGTGTTGTAAAAATTATTGGGACTAGGAGGTTGAAAATAGATCATTGGCTTTAAAGTTTGCTACAAATACCATTTTTTTTAGACTATTTTCATCCCCACCATTTTGATATGTAGAGGGGTTAATTAAAAATACTTATAAGATACAATGAATTTCTATCGATTACATGTTGCATTGATAAAACTAATCATTGAATCTCACTTCTTTAAGCATCAACATAATTACTTCATACAAGTATATCTACAACAATCTTGCATAAAACAAAACTATGTTATTTTGATAACAACAGGATAGTGTATATAGTATTCATATTGGAATACGATATTCTTCATGTAGGAGTCCTTTTTTTTCTATACGGAAGAGGATGAAAACAATCGTTTTACCTTTTTTTTCTATACGGAAGAGGATGAAAACAATCGTTTTACCTTTTTTTTCTATACGGAAGAGGATGAAAACAATCGTTTTATAAACTATAAGTATTTCTAAAGAATAGACACTTTCCGAAGAATATATCTCTTTCAATTTAAATAAAGGTGTTTTATTATTGAAAGGTATTTTTCTATCTACTAAATAAAGGTGTTTTATTATTGGAAGGTATTTTTCTATCTACTATCTTTCCCAACAATTGTTTTCTTTCTTCTATTTTGAAAATTTCTCCAACAAAGATTCGATTGGAACCGTTAGTAATCTTATTTTTCATAATAACTAAAGATTTGGTATTGAGAGGAATTTTATTATGTCAAAATTTGAACTTAACATACTTAATATAAGGTTTGCATTGTTTTTTTTTTTCTTTTCTTTTCTTTTGACCAATTCTCTTGAATTTTGACTAATACAAAATTAAATCACATCATAGCTTATAAGTTGAAAGAACTTTTAA